GGGTACGTTAATCGATTTGCTGGGGACCAATAGGCTAGTCAAGTAGTGAGCACCGCACCGTGTTCACCAGTTCGATGCTAAAGGGGCGGTTCTGGTTTTTGAGTACCGGGTTTCGTGTTCACAAGGATGATGTTCTGAATTCAAGAACAGATCCGGTGCTGTTGTAGTTTATGTGCGGTGCATATTATTCAGAATTGCCAGTGATGGCAGGTAATTAAACAGCATTTGTATTTGATGCATAAATTTATGCAATGTCAAGTCAAAATAGCGGTTTTTGAATACAGAAAAACTGGGAGTTCAAATGAAGTATTATGCGATGTGGGCATTCCCAGAATCGAGGTGACGTAAAGAGACCGAAAATTATGATCGACGCCATCTTGAAATTCAGCATGGCGACTTTCGGTTATTGAAAAACTCGGAAATACTGCCAAATATCTAATATCAATGTTCCATTTCGCTTTACTGCACTCCATATGGCGTTTGAGATATTTTTAGCTAGCGGGTTCAAATTAAAAAGTGTTCAGATTAAAAACGGTCAGATTAACGGGGGTCCACGGTATAATATTTTTACCAAATGAATCTTACATCAAATCTGAATCAAATGGTGTGATAATAATTCAAATTCATTTAAAAACGGCCATGTTATAAGCGATTAAAACCTGACACTATTTCGTCACACAATTTTTTGGCCAATGTGGTCAATGCTCTTTCAAATCTAAAGAAAGCCTATTGATGAAAAACCATGAAGAAAAAGCTGATGCGGCAAGGCTTGTTTTGGTGTAAAAATGCTATTTTTCTTTGCAACAAGTTCCCTCGGGGGCATCTTGGTGGTTCAGAGAGCGGCTTATGTGGTCAATATCCACTTCGAATCTATCGAAATCCTATTGATGAAAAACCATGAACAAAAAGCTGCGGCAAGGCATGTTTTGGTGCGATACTTCCATGAACAGTGACGAGTGGCCGAAACAAACAAGGAACTGTGGCAAACGTACCATCTGCAACCCAATACTTTGCCTGTCCAAGACGTCGCAAGTTATTGCCACCGATGTCAGCAATCAACAGACGGTCCCCATTATCATCCTTCTGGAATTCATCGCGTAGATTATGCCTAACGTCCGTTATGCCTATCGTACATTATTCCTCCGTATGCTTATCGTCCATATGCCTAACGTCCTTATGTCTAACGACCGTATGCCTAACGTCGTGTACCTCTATCGGACTTAGTTTCCGTGCTACAATGAGTGGTAGACAATTATCATCATATCATATCAATCCATTTAACAAAATAAACCACTATCTCTGGAGTGTCTTGAGATCGAGGGGGTTGGGGGGTACAGTGAAAAATTTAGAGCAATCTAGAGTTACTCTACTCTCTTGCTCTCTGAGCGATTCTTTCTCTCATTGTTAGTGGATTTTTTCCAAAAGGTCTTATTTATTTCTTGATAAAAATTCGGGTTTAAGGTTCGCTTAAGGCTTTTTGAAATCTTCACCTCGTTTGTTTTGAAAGGGATGAACAGGTTTCACTGTTGTTGACTTAACCTGTCTTGAATACTAAAATCCGAATCAAACATCGGGATACAGAATAAAGTTGCGTCATCATCGGAGTCATACTCAGGTTGCAGCTCCACCCGCATAAGCGCGAACCAAAACTTGACCTTACCGAAAATGGTTAAAAATTGTTTATAATCCCTGCGAAACTTTAACTGAAATAGTAATGGAACGTTACACGAACGTTTGTGTGATAAAGTTTTAACCTTATGTATTATGGTTCTTTGGAAGTGAACCTTTCAAATAATGAGTTATTAAGAACCATTACTATTCAAAATAGTTGTTTTCTCCATTCATTTTCGGAGAGAGAACTATATTAGAAACTTTTCACTTAAGGTTTGAGAACTTTAATGGTAATGGTTAAAGTAGCCAGTAAGGTCCATTAGTGGTTTTGTAACATCGATCAACTTTATGTGGAATATACCGTGAATTGGTTGCCTGTAAATTACTGATTAACAATTCGCGATACATTCCACGTAAAGTTGACCGATAATACTAAACTATTAATGGACCTTACAAACTACCATAACCATTACCATTAAAGTTCTCAAACTATAAGAAAAAAGGTTATAATACAGTCCTCTCTCCGAAAATGTATGGAGAAAACGAGGGGGACGACTCTATCTACGCTGCAGGAAAGATTGTGTTGTGCTGTGGCTAGCTGATCGCACGCTGAGTAGATAGAAAGAAGATTGATGACGATTCTGAAGATTTCCTGCAAAAAATTGATGCGCGATGTAAGAAGATGCGAGAAATGCAAGAAGATTTTTCGAAGATTGATTCGCTAGTGTGGGATTTTTTGAGCATCCAAAATTGAGATTTAGATGTGTCACCCCCCTCGGGAGAAAACAACTATTTTGAATGGCAATGGTTCTTAACAACCCATTATCTGGTAAGGTTCACTTCCAAAAAACCATAATACATAAGGTTAAAACTTTATCACACAAACGTTCATGTTAAGTTCCACAACCATTTCAGTTAAAGTTTAGCATTTTAACCATTTTCGGTAAGGTCAAGTAATGGTTCGCATTTATGCGGGCAAGGGAAAGCGGACAGTAAGTTATAAAACAAACCAGAAAATTGATTGTAAATAATCTCTGCCTTTTTCTCGGCCTACTTATATTCCTGTATAAGAAAATCGAACTTTGACTATATGTTTAGTATTACTTCTGCGTGAAGTCAACGATTTACATAGTTGAAGATGCTATTTCGAATAACAGACTGAAGTGGTAGTTTTTATACGATAGATGCCAGTGGTAGCGGGGGGGGGGGGGCACCCCTCACCATCCCTCTCCAAAGGGGGAGTTTGGTAAAGAGAGATGATCAAACCGATTTGTACCTTCCTTAAAAGTTGTCCTAGCTCGCTATCTACTTTCTATATGCAATTTTCACACTGCCGTAATCTAAACGGAACTATCAATTCTATACTTTCATCTTCTCCTCATCTATCGTATAAAAATTACCACTTCAGTCTGTTATTCTAAATAGCATCTTCAACTAGGAAAATCGAAGTTTTTTGTTAGCATTTCTACAGTTCAGTACACAACATCCAAATAATACATGGTTGACCGTTTTAGCGTGCGGACCAATAAATGATTCGAAAAATTTCTTTGACCGGCCGTTTTGAAAATCGAGTTATTTGTAATGATTTTTACCGGATATGCGGAACATTCCTTCACGATTGGTAGCTATCAAGCGGTGCTATAGAATGGTATCGGTAACCGATTTGTTTACATTTTGATTATGGGCCGTTTTAAAACGTTACGCGAGATGTGCCTTGTTCTTTATTTTTCCCAGAGCAGATCAGAGCAAATCAGAGTTACTCTGAGTAACTCTCAGCAAAAGAGACACTCGCATTAAAGCCGTCCTCGCCCTTGCTTGAGATATTGGTCTGGATTTTCTCCAGATAATAGAAGAACTAGCACGGACTAGTTATACTATTTTTTACAAAAATCGGCCAGGGAAAACCATGGCAGGAAAGAGTTAAAACATGAACAGTTCTTTTGCGGTTTACCGTTTTCATTTTTTTGAGGCTATACATGTACTTCCACTTCGAATTTTCAATTACACCAATCTCGGAAATCAGTGCCCATTTCATTTGAAATTGCTACTTCATGTGTATGCTAATAAGGATGTCCCAGCGAATCACCTTAAACGCAAAATTAACAATCAACCTCTATGTGCAAAGGCAGTAGGCAGAATCAAGGCTTGTTTAAATTAGACGGACTTTATTAAAAAATCGACCCGATTTAAATTAGCCTTATGTGATTTTGATTGTTGTATTTAACTGCCTTTTGTTAGTTCTGCATTCAGAATTATAGGCCATAAAATCGAAAAAAAAAATGCCTTCCGCAAGCGTTTGCCTGTTCTTAACGTAGTGTTCTTTGACGAACTTTCAGTTATTCATTTAAAGTATTCTATGCCAACCAATCAATGCATGATTTGTTTTTATATTAAGGCAAGATACCTCTAAGAAGCCTCAATGATGAGGTCCGACAAAGCCGCCGAGGTCTCTAATAGTTCTTTTTTCCTGACGAACTTTCAAATGTTAATGAGAATCATATTGATTGTCAAAATCAAGTTCAAACAATTTGTATAGACAAATCAAGCTTTCAGTGTGACCTTCATTGCTCCGTCCAAAGACAGGAAAGCCAGTTCTATAAAAGTTTTTGTTCCGTCGCAAGCATAACTAACGCAGCAATTACGACCTTTAATAAATTACATATTTGAACGTTTTACGGTGGTGTTCTGCTACTACCATCCGCCTAGTGCTATTTACTACTCATGAAACAAGTGAACGGCTTGCACCTGAAGATCGTAAATCTTCTCGCTGTACACCGAAAACTACGACGATGGCAGTAAAAGCACTCAACCTCGAGTGCGATGGTACTTCAGACTAAAAAACCGAGTTCCTGCTTGACCGGTCGGTCCTCACCCGGCTTTTTGTTCGTTAATCAATCGAGAAGACACAAGCCGAAGATCACCACCTTCGAATTTGTGGGTTTTTTTTAAATCCATGTTGGTACCGCGACGAATTGGGATGGGTTCTTGTGGCAACAAATGATAATTATCACAGCGTTTGTTCTTCCAAAAAAAAAAAAAGACCCCCCCCCCCCACAGCGTGTGGGGTACAGAACAATTGAACCGAAATTTGCCGGTCAATATTGGCTTTTTATGATGCCTGCTGATGGTGAATAAATAACCTTCATTACTCTGTTCCGCGTATGAATGATGACTGAAGGAGGCTGTGTGGCGCAGCAGCGCTGCGGTTGCAGTGCGTGTAGGAAGTAATAATCGCGGATTTTTTTTGCCGTATTGACGTCAATGGCATTGTGTTGGACAATTTGTAAATCAATAAATTAACTTGCCACTTGTTCTGAAGCCTAATATTGACGCTCTTGTGCCGTGAGTCGGGAGCTTATCAAAGCAATTAGACGTTTTTCCCCACTTACCATGCACGCTCCCTGGTTATTGTTGGCCAGGTCCCCGTTGGACAGCTTGCCGTTCTGGTACAGGTGATGTCCGTTGGCGAGGGAGCCGTTCGACGCACTTCCACCATTCAAGGCATCGTACTTGGTGGCTTGCAGCAGCTTGTTTTCGGCGGCCAGCCTCAGTGCTTTCCGTTTGCTGTAGGCTTGCTTGTAGAAATCGGAGAACAGGAACAGGAACATGACGCCGTGCAGGCCGATCCACACCATGAAGCCCTTCGGGTAGTTGCACTCGGTGAACAGCAGCTGGAACTGGTGAGTGAAGATGGCCACGAATTGCAGCTGCAATGGGTAGGTTGATTAGAGGGCGGTCTAATTATGTGGGTAGACTACTAACGGCCCAGGGCAATCAAGGATCTTACCATTTGGAATGCGGTGAGGTACTTCTTCCACCAGATGTACTTCTGGTACTTTGGTCCTAGGGCAGCTACCATGTAGTAGAAATACATAACAATATGTACAAACGAGTTGAGCATGGCGAAGAATGTGCTGTGACCACCTGGAATGGGACGACGAAAACTAAATATTAGTAATTCTCACGACCAGAAGGTTCGAGATGCTTGGACCGCTTGGACGGGGTAAATGGATTTAATGAATTCGATTGAATTTTGACATCTACAGACGGGCAGCGACAGGCAGACAGACGACGGAGAGACTGCAAATAATTATTCGCATTAATTAGTGCACGCTCCCGTTCCAGAGGCGTACCCACAATTTGCACTTCAGCGAGTGAGTACTGTAGAGCGCTACTGCGTCGTAATCGCCTATTATCGCTTTTTTGGGTAGAAAACATAAAACACCGTGCATAAATTGATATTACGTTTGCTTCGATACGTTACTTGAAAAGCTACAATTGTTCTCGAACAAATTAAGCACTCCAAGCGAATCCACTTTTCCTGCCTTTTCCAGGTTAAATAGCGAAGAAATAAACAAATTTTGGATTTTACTTCTCAGAATGAATCGAAGGAAATCGATTCTGCATTTTTTGGCCATCAGATGTCACTACTGTTGTTTGTGGCGACATGCGTTGTTATTTATGCGTAAACTGTTTTCCGTTAATTGTTCACAGAGGACAGTGTAAAAGCATGTCTGGTCACGGGAAAAAAAATCCGTTCCGAAATTCGTCAACCTCAAGTCACGAATTTCGGATCACGTCAATTTTCCGTTTACAAAAGTACACCATGCGTTAGGTTGCTCTAGGAACCATCAAAGGCAACAAATGTCATAGAAACATGAACCCTGTTCTGGAAATCATGATGTTTGTGCTTGATATTGTGAACCTGTTCTCAAAAACGGAAACATGGTTAATAGACTGTATTTGACAATGGATATTTATTGGTTTACCTTTAACATCACATCAGCGCTTTTTATTAATCACAGGAAATCAAAAAAATCTCTCGTCGGAGTCCATACAGTGAGCATGCGATTTTCTCTTTTGCTAATAACTCGCTAGATTTAACGTTTCTCGGTGCGTTTGCTGTTGCTTTTGATAGCCAATACAACCTGTTACAACTCTGCATTGGAAAAATTCAAGAAAATTGTTTCGCTTAGCTGTAGCAATGCAAAGTGAAAATCGATGAAGAGAATCGATCATCGCGTATACGCCCTTATGGGGGGTTTACATCCGTGCGGATTAGCTAGCGCTAGTGTATTAGCAAACTAGCACGAATTTCAGTTGCTCCTGAAATCTCATGCTGGTAGACGCTGATGCCCTGTTTACATTATGCTGGTGAGCTTTTTTGCTAGCCACAGGCTCATTAGCGCTAGTGAAATAGCATACGTGTGAACACCCCATTATGCATGCTCACTGTCGAATTCACGTATAAAACTCGGTGAATCTTCTCGCTGCGATAGGAAAAGGGGTGGAAACCGACACTCATGTGCGGATGAAGGCCGTGGTGCTCCGCAAGAAGTCGGCGTAGTGCAGTTGCTGCTGCGTCTTGGAGTGACCAGTTTTGACACTTGGAATCCTTTAATGTCCTACTTGGCCCGTCTCGTGAATGTGAATCCAGACCAGGGCCCAACAAAGTCACTTTCAATCGATAATCGTTAAGCGACGACGATGCTGTCAACCATCACTTTCAATTGAAAGTCATTCTGTATTCTCTTCGAGCAGATGCTCTTCAACATCAACAGAACCACTTTCGATCAGTTTTCAAGCTGTTTGTATAGTTTTGACTAGTGTTCATTTCGTCTTTCATTGTCAAATAAACTTACTTGCGCAACAGCTTCGCTTCATCGATCCAAATTCACGCAGTTTTTCTGACTTTTGTTGATTGTTCATTCGGTTAATTTAAACGCATGCTCATAGATCTGTGCACGTGAATGTAAAATTTATCATTCTCGGGCGGTTTGTTTACCCATCAATATGGGTATTTTTGGAATCGGAGTGACGTCTAGAGACCGGAAATCGATGACCGACGCCATTTTGAAATCCAAGATGACGACTTCTGATTCCAGAAAAAGTGTGAAATACTGACAGCGATTTATCAATATGGGTATTTTTGGAATCGGGGTGACGTCTGAAGAACGAAAATCGATATGCGACACAATTTCAAAATCCAAGATGACGGCTTCCACTTCAAAAAAGATGATGACGTCTAGAGGCTGAAAATCGATATCCGACGTCATTTTTAAATCCAAGATGACGGCTTTCGATAACAGAAAAAGTGGGAAATACTCAGAGTTGGTTGGAAATGCTAACACATGAAGCTTTAGTGTGATAATTTATTAGCTAGAGAATGATCTTTAGAAGAGGGTAGGTGTCAGAAAAAGTGGTGAAATACTGTCAAATACCCATTAATAATGGTATTTAAGGAATCGGCATGTCATCTAGAGGCCGGAAATGGATGTCTGACGCCATTTTGAAATCCATGATGGCGGCTTCCGATTTAAGAAAAAATAGGAAATACTGTCAAATACCCATCAATATGGGTAGTTTTTCAATCGGGGTGACTAGAGATTGGAAATAGATTTGCGACGCCATTTGGAATCCAAGATGGTGGCTTCCAGTTTTAGAAAAAGTGGGAAATACTAACAAATACCCATCAATATGGGTATTTTTGGAATCGGGATGTCGTTTAGAGAATGAAAGTCGATGTCCGATGCCATTTTTAAATTCTTGAAATTTTGAAAAAATGGAAAATTCTATCAAATATGCAGTTTTTTTTATAGAATCAGAGTAATGTCTAGAGCTGGAAATCAATATCCGATGCTTTTGTGAAATTCAAGATGGCGGCTTCTGATTTGAGAAAAAGTGTCAATACCCTAAAATATGGGAATTTTCAGAACGTAGATGCCGAAAAACTATGTCAGACGCCATATTTAAAACCAAGATGGCGACTTCTGGTTTCAGAAAAAGTGGGAAATACTGTCAAATACCCATCAATGTGGGTATTATCAAAATCCCAGAAACCAATGTTTGACGCCATGTTAAAAGCTAAGATGGCGACTTTTGTTCTGAAATAGTGTGAAATTCTGTCAAATACCGATCAATGTGGGTATTTTAGGAATCGGGGTGACATAAAGATGGCGGCTTCCGATTTTAAGAAAAGTGTCAAATACCCTACAAATGGCGTCGAATATCGATTTTCTGCATGCACGCGTCGTCCCAGCTCCGAAAATACCAATATCTTAGGATATTTGACATTTTTTCTGAGCCCGATGGTCGGCATATTGGATTCCAAAATGGCTTCAGACATCAATTTTCGGCACCTTCGCGTCGTCCCACGTTCCGAAAATACCCATATTGTAGGGTATTTGAGACTTTTCCTTAGCCCGATGGCCGCCATCTTGGATACGTTAATTTAATTTTCGTTTAATGTAAAATAACATTTTATTACTACATAATCCAGATGGCATCCCTATCGGCAACCGATATTTTGTGGATACTATATATCGATGCCTGACGACGCGACGCGTCACAAGTCGAATGATCCCCGAATTGAAGCGAAAGTGGAAAAAACTAAGGAAGCAGATTTCAAGTCATTCATTGCGTCAATTGAAACAATTCTTTGTTTCAAATTAAATGAACTGATGCACTTGACGAACGAAACAAGCGATAGTCAAGTCATGTTTGACAGGAGGAATGTTCATCGTGACTCGGTAACAAGGAACACAAATGACTTACACGAAAATGATATTGCTCGAAATGAAGTGATTCTGCGGAGAGTTCATTTTGTTTCCTTTGTTTCGAAAATGCAGAACTCTGATTCAGACAACTCAACACTCTCCACTTTGCTAGGCGAGTTGCCGATGTTGTCTTGCTGCAATCCACATGCAATTTCAGGCCATCACCGCTACAAGTGCCCGTAAACCGGACGATTCATCGCCGCACAAGTGGGTGACCAAAAACAATAAACAACTACTAGAAATGACAGCTGCAGCTCTGCTCGTGATCCAAGTTCACAGATGCAGGTACACTGATAAATTAAACTATTCCCATTTTGATGATTAAAAATTAATACTCTCTTTCTAAAAAATAATCATCTGATATTAAACCCAGTTTAATCATGATTGATTAGATTGAAAATTATCTTTTTTGAATAAATTTTAATCATATTTTATTCTATTTTAATAATTTTTGATTGAATTTTAATCGTTTTGATTAGATATTTATATTCAAAAGAATAAAATTAAATACTGGAAAGATTATTTCGAATTTAATCATGCATGACTACTGCCGAAGTAATCATGGCTCGGACTCAATAAGGGGCTATTCATTAACTACGTAGACGTTTTTTTTTATTTCTTGCCCACCCCCTCGCCCTGCGTAGACAATTGCCCATACAAAATTTTAAAAATTTGTATGGGCCGTGGATTATTGTCACCCCCCCCCCCTGTCTACGTAGTTTATGAACAGCCCCTAAGGTGAAGCGTGAATCTGCATACTTTTTAAGCTTTCTTGATTTTATTTATTTTTGAGCGTACGAAATCGCGTGAACTAATGTCGTTTTCGTTTTTGCAGTGTAGCTACCAGGGTTCTGCATTTTCGAAACAAAGATAAGGAAATGAACTCTCCGCAGAATCGCTTCCAAGGTAACTACATATAGGTGTTCTAATGTGTCTAATTCATAATTCAGCCATGTTGGATTTCTGTACGGGACAGCGACCGAGTTTGTTTACAATTTGCTCTAAAACCGCACTTTCCCCCCCCCCCGCGACCTCCTCGCCTATATAGTGAAAAAGCTGTATCACCATTTATGTGCCCACCATGATCGCTTCATTTCAAGCAATTGGCGTTGACGGCACCGCCGGAAAATCGTCTCTTCTAACAAAGATTAACAGTGTCTTATGGGAATTTTCAGTGGAGTGAAAGGATAGCATGAAGTCCGCCATGTTTCACGCACACGGTGACGTTTGCTTGTGGATTTTACCATTGAAGTAAAGAGCTACAGAGTCGCCGTCAACGCCAATATCATTTTCGTGTAAGTCATCGTGTTTCTTGTTATCGAGTCACGATGATCATTCGTCTTTTCAAACATGACTGGACTATCAGTT